AGAGAAAAATAAAAATTGAAGCCTATTAAAGAATTTAAGGAATGAGTTTTAGTTAAGGAAAAACTATGTTTTGTTTTGTTTTATTTTTAAAAGTAAGATTTTTGCTATACAGTGCACATGCACTCGCTAGAGACACAGAGACAAAGTCAGAACTCACCCCCAATTCCTTCTCCTTCATTCTCCTGTAAGGATTTTTTTAAAGAAGATTTTGTCTTACAGCATATGCACTCGCTGGAGAGAGGGAGAGAGACAGAGATACTGAGAGGGAAAGTGAGAAATCACCCTCAGGGGGTATGGCCACACTGCAGTCCCTTCTAATCCATTCTCTTCCCATGATCTTGGGCATGCACGTACATGCACCTGGCATGATTTGCAAGCCACTGGTTCAGCCAGCCATGTGGGAGTCCAGTGTTTTAACCACTACACCACCTGCTGGCCCCAAAACTATGTTTTCTTAACAACTTTCCTGCTAATATGTCTGTAGGAGAAAAATTTGATGTTGAACAAGAAAGAGATTACCTAAACTCTAGTTGAGATAATACAGTAGGCAGAGCCAGAACCTGGGCCAGTCTCCTGGGTTCCAAGTTGGCTCTCTCCTCCATACTCCAGTGTCCTTTTCTGTTAATAGAGTATACAGCAGCCCCACTTCTTTTACGTCATAGAATACATTCCTTAATTCTTGTAAAACAGCTCTCACCACAAACCTTGGCATAGAGTGACCACTGGCTGTGCATGGTTCTAGTACTTCTTACTTACCATAAGCTTTCTTAGTCTTTGCCGTATTTCTTTCAGCTCCTTATGGTCTTCCCTCTTAGATTTCACTCAGGTGTATCTAGATGTGGTATTTTGTGACTCCTGTTTGTATTTGAAATACTGAGCTCAAAGGAATGTTCAGCCCTTTAGTCTTAGGGGTCTTCCCAAGTGTGCAGAAAATGACTGTTTCATGCTGCAGCCAACTGTTTACTGAAGAGACGGAAAAGCCTGATAAAGTACCCATAATTCAGAGTCGGCCAAAGGAGTGCGCACTCTGACTCTGCCAAATGCAGCCATATTACCTTGCAACGTTCTGTAGGTGCCTCTGAGTTTCTCTCTCCTCATTCCTCAAATGGGAGGATCAAGTGTCCTGTCACTGGGAGGGTGAGAAACACAGATATGGAAAGGGCCCCCACCCCAACACACACGCACTCACACAGAGCCTAGAACTAGGGCTAAAACTACCTTAGGATGGACCCTGCCTCCTTTCCTGAAGGCAGTGACCGTGGCAGTATGTCTTCTTGTGCACTGAGGCAGTGTCTGTCATTTCTCAGAACGTGAGGGCAAAGATATCATTGGATCCATGCTGGGGGAGAAGCTGCAGATTGGGGAAGAGCTGCTGGCAGAGAGAACCTCGTTGGCTGAGAGGCTGAGGTAAGTGGTCTTTGTACAGGGTAGGCTGGTAAGAAGGTGCATGTATCTCTAAAGTGGGGTGGCTCCACTGAGAGAACCAAGATCCTACTTGGGCCGGGGAAGGGCAGAAATTTATATGGGAGACACAAATACTTCCAAAACAGGTGGAGAACAGAAAGATGGCAGATTGGGGACAACAATCGTTACTCAAGTATTTGTTTATTCCTTTTTTATTTTGTTGGCTAAAATTTATATGAGATTAAAAGCAGACAACTCAGTGGTATTATTAGTATAGTCCCAATTTTGTATAATCATTGCTTAATTTACTCTTAATCAAAATCATATCTTGACTGTGGCTTCTGATCTTTCCTTCATTGAAACAATGTTGTCTTCTCATTCCTGCCATTCTTTTCTTCTTTATCTTTCTAATTAAGACAGGCTGTCCATGTTCTCATTTCCATGTGTGGCTTTGTGCCCATGAGCACATACTGCACTATGTGGGTTTTTACATTAGATGTCTGTGGCCAAAATGAGGAATTGAAGGTACATATTTATGAAACAGATTTAGTAAGACACTTGGGTGTGATTTCAAAAGAAAGAGTTGTGGAGAATAACAAGTCTTACAGAGGCACTTTCTGATACAAATGAGGCTTCCATTCTATATCTTTTCTGTTGGCCACAAAGACCCCCAAACTTGCACCAAAATTTGGCTTGCAAAAAGTTTGGGGACACTTCACAGAAATCTCTATCAAATCTCAATCTGTTGTTCAACTCTTTGAACTTTAAAACAAAAATTCTATTTACTGTACATCTTTACACTGTACAACATGGTTTTTCCCAGCATCAATACAATGCATATTAGTCAAGTCAAAGACATTACCATATACATTATCAGCAACAAATAACTTTTCATTTTCACCTATTAAGTGTTTTGTTTATTTTTTTTCCCTGGTTCCCTCCTTCCCACCAACTATTTCTCCACCCACCCCCATTACCCACACCCTGCTATACTGTCTCTAGTATCTATAGTTGCCCTCCCTGCCATTATACCTTCCAATCTTTCAGTTTCTGCTACAGAGTACAGACATTCAGTATATATTAAACACGGACATACAATGCCTTTCATAGTCTGTCTTGTTTCAGTCATCATTAAGTCTTTCCATTCTTAAATCTTCTCTCTATCCCACCTTAGAGAATGCAATATTGTAATTCAATCTCAAGATGAAGAGATGACCCTGTTAAGGGAACAGTTACAGGAAGGGAAATGTATCTCTTTACTACTCCTTCGACATCTCAGGGGCCTCCTCAACAATAACAACCACCAGAGGCAGGACTTCCAAGAACAACTGGCTGAGGGGCACAGGCTGGCAGAGTGCCTTGCCTGCATGCTCAGCCCAGGTAAGGTGGCCACAAGTCCTGATTCCACTGAAGCACTCCTAGGGTCCTCCCTCACTAGACACTCATAAAGTGAATTTAAAAAAAATGAACTGATTTGCTTTCCACATTCCACATTCCATTTAGTGCCATGACAGGATCAGACCAGGCCAGGTGGAAACATGAAAGAGAAAAGCACAGGGTGGAGGTCACAGCACTCCAGCTGTGCTGTTCCTCCCTGATAGAATACAGCCTTTGGTGAGAAAGCATCCATCCACTGTTGGAGAAGAGATGCAGCATGGGGCAGGGACTGTGAAAAGTCAAAATGGTCCTGAACGAAGAATGAAACTTGCCAGGCTCTAGACTAACTGCTGTCTTTATTATCAGTGGGCAAGTAATTTACCTTCCTGAATTTCTGTGTCCTCATCTGTCAGACATACCATATGGCTGCAGTCATCACATGTGGGAATGAAATGTCAAAAATGCACTTCAAGAAAAACAAAGACCCTCCCTCTTTGGGGTCTCTTGAGGTACTTGTTATAGGAGCAGCCACTGGTGGGAACGTTGCTGTTTATGGGAACTTGCTCATAGAGAGAATTTCTCCTCCTACAACAGCCAAAGCTGATTTCTTACAATTAGTAGCCCACAGTGTTTGTAATGGGTCATATGGAGCTACCTGAGGTCTGACTTGGCACTTCTGAATTTGTATGCAGAAGTCCAGGAAACTGAGGAGGATCGAACTGAAGAAGAACCACCAGCCCCCAGGTACCAATGGGTAGGCAGGACCTAGGAGAGGAGGGTCACCATATGGGGAAGGACCTGTATGAACAGACCAAAAAGTCCAAAGTAGCCCTAGATTTTACATAAATTGGGAAACAAAAATGCAGGTATGATTCCATTCATTCAAGTAATGTGGAACTGGCAAGATTATCTTTGTATAAATTGTCAGTTTTATGAAAGGGACACGAAGAGGTTGGATGAATATTTTCATAGCACAGAATCTCCCTGTTCTCTCTGTTCTGGTCAAATTTATTTTTCGCCAGAGTTTATTTTCGGCAAGGAAAGCATGACAAGAAATGTGACCAGGCAAAAAGGCCATGTCACAACACTGGTGGAAAGAGACCTAGAAGCCACAGACCTCCGAGAACTCCTCCCTCAGGAGGCTGTACTCACTGGCCTGCTGCATGCAACATGCAGTGCAGTCTACTCACAAGGTCATTCCACTGCTGGGCCTCTGTGGGCACTGCATGCAGAGACCGTACCACATGGGCACAGTTGAGTCTCCGTCCTTAACACTCGGACCTAATCAGAGCCCACTGAGCATCTCCTTTACTCTCCCTCCTCCCCTCCTCTTTCCTCATCAGGGGAATTTGTTTTCCTACTCTTTTAATACGCTGTTCCTTCCCTTCTGCAATCATTCCCTACAACTTCGGTGAGGACCATGGAGAACCGTGGTCTCCCAGCCCTCTTGCCCTAACTATATTCTTTGTCCCATCGCTCTGAGCAGTGGCGTACAGAAGGAGAATGTGAATGAAGTCTTGCAGGACTCATCTGATGAAGGCTGTGAGACTTCCTCCAGGCTCCACGACCCGTCTGAATCCCAGCAGCCTCCCTGCAGCACCACCTTGTCGGATGAGCAGGATGTCTCTGCTCCGTGTGTAGCCAGGGAGGACCCCAGTTACAAAGAGAATCCATCGCTCTGAGCAGTGGCGTACAGAAGGAGAATGTGAATGAAGTCTTGCAGGACTCATCTGATGAAGGCTGTGAGACTTCCTCCAGGCTCCACGACCCGTCTGAATCCCAGCAGCCTCCCTGCAGCACCACCTTGTCGGATGAGCAGGATGTCTCTGCTCCGTGTGTAGCCAGGGAGGACCCCAGTTACAAAGAGAATAAGGCAACGACTGTTCTCCCAGGTATTCTCCACACACTTGTGTTCCTATGGCAAGTTCAGGGTGGTGAACTCAAGGCCAGCAGAGTGGGGAGGTAGAAGAGATTCTCCAAAATTTTCAGCCACCACTGATGCATGGGCAGAGCAGACGTCTGCATAGAACTATTTATTTATGTATTTATTGGTATAGGGCATGTGTGCCTGCTTGGGGGTGTGGGGGCCAGTGAAAAGTCAACCCCCTACACATGGAAGGTGGCTATGCCACA